AATTTAACAAAGATGGAACTGCAACAATCTCACAGAGACGTTCAGGCTGTCCACGGAGGTTAACACCTTAACAGGAGTGTGTTCTAATGAGAAGGGTTGCAGGAAAATTGCCATGAAAGTTCTCCGCAGTTAGCTAAAGAAGTAGAAAGCCAAACTGGGGTGATTTTTTCCCATGAAACAATAGGGCGTACACTACAGAGGAATGACATACATGGGTGTTGTCCATGAAGGAAGCCTCTCCTAAAGCCCATGCACAAAGAAGACCCCCTAGAATTTGGCAGGGCCCATACTGAAAAAGAAGACTACTGGGACTCTGTACTCTGGAGTTATGAGACCAAGATAAATGTTTTTGGAACTGATGGCTGCAAAACTTTATGACATTGTAAAAGTGCAGAGTACAAAGAAAAATGCATGGTGCCTACAGTGAAACATGGTGGTGGCAGTGTCCTTCTGTGGGGCTGCATGAGTGCCAAGGTGCTGCATTTCATTGATGGTATCATGAATTCAGATATACTGCTCTATATTGAAAGATAAGATGCTACCATCACTCCGTGCCCTTGGCCGTCGTGCACTTTTCCAACATGACAATTATCCAAAACACAGATCTAAGGCCACTGTTGCATTTCAGAAGAACAGGGTGAAAGTGATGCAGTGACCAAGAGTGTCTCCTGATCTGAACCCAATCGAACACCTATGGGGAATTCTGAAGAGACAAGTTGAGCATCACTCTCCATTCAGAGTCCAGGTTCTAAAAGAGGTCATTCTTGAAGAATGGAAAAAGATGTTGCAATATGTTGCCAACTTGTTCATTCCATTCCTAGAAGGCTTGGTGCTGTCCTTACAAAGCATGGAGGTCATACAAAATACTAGATGTAGTAGTTTTTGTTGTGGGGTGTATTCATTTTTGCATCAACTAATTTGAGTAAAACTGAAGATTTTGAAATCTAAGTTATATTGTTAACCTTACTTTCATGTAATGAGCTAAACAAATGTTCTATAAAACTCAGTTTTGTCAAAATTTTAGAAATTGTTCTTGTGTTCATTGAGATGTTGATTAAAATCTTATTTTTCAAAAGTAATGTACTCATTTATTCCGAGCACTGTATACACTTATACTATAAAGTAGTTTCCAAGGGCACCAAGACTGACCCATGCACTCAAAGGTGTATAAAAATGTTACATAGTGTAAGTAAACATATAAAACATATCTATCTATCTATCTATCTATCTATCTATCTATCTATCTATTTATCCAGTATATATATATATATATATATATATATATATATATATATATATATATACTGCTCAAAATTTAAAGGAACACTTTTAATCAGAGTATAGCACAAGTCAATTAAGCTCCTGGGATATTGATCTGGTCAGTTAAGTAGCAAAGGGGGTTGTTAATCAATTTCAGCTGCTTTGGTGTTAATTCAATTAACAACAGGTGCACTAGATGGGCAATAATGGAAATGACCCCCAAAACAGGAATGGCTTTACAGGTGAAGGACACTGACATTTTTTTCCCTGCTCAACTTTTCTGACTGGTTTTCACTAGTTTTGCATTTGGCTAGGGTCAGTGTCACTACTGGTAGCATGAGGTGATACCTGGACCCTACAGAGGTTGCACAGGAAGTCCAACTCCTCCAGGATGTCACATCAATACGTGTCATTGCCAGAAGGTTTGCTGTGTCTCCCAGCACAGGCTCAAGAGCATGGAGGAGATTCCAGGAGACAGGCAGTTACTCTAGGAGAGCTGGACAGGACCATAGAAGGTCCTTAACCCATCAGCAGGACCGGTATCTGCTCCTTTTCGCAAGGAGGAACAGGATGAGCACTGCCAGAGTCCTACAAAATGACCTACAGCAGGCCACTGGTGTGAATGTCCCTGACCAATCAATCATAAACAGACTTAATGAGTGTGGCCTGAGGGCCAGACATACTCTAGTTGGCTCTGTGCTCACTACATGACACCATAGAGCTCGATTGGCATTTGCTATTGAACACCAGAATTGGCAGGTCTTCCACTGGCGCCCTGAGCTTTTCACAAATGAGAGCAAGTTCACCCTGAGCACATTGGACAGACGTGAATGGGTCTGGAGAAGCCATGGAGAACATTATGCTGCCCGTAACATCGTTCAGCATGACCATTTGGTGGTGGGTCAGTGATGATTTGGGGAAGCATATCCATGGAGGGATGCACAGACCTCTACAGGCTAGAAAATGGCACCCTGACTGCCTTTAGGTATCGTGATGAAATCCCTGGACCCATTGTCAGACCCTACGCTGGTGCAGTGGGCCCTGGGTTCCTCCTGGTGCACAGCAATGACCGGCCTCATGTGGCAAGAGTATGCAGGCAGTTCCTGAAGGATGAAGGAATTGATACCATTGAATGGCCCCCACACTCGCCTGACCTAAATCCAATAGAATACCTCTGGGATATCATGTTTCGGTGCATCTGACACCGCCAGGTTGCACCTCAGACTGTCCAGGAGCTCAGTGATACCCTGGTCCAGATCTGGGAGAAAATATCGCAGGACACATCCATCATCTCATTAGGAGCATGCCCCGATGTTGTCAGACATGCATACAAGCATGTGAGGGCCATACAAACTACTAAGTTCCATTTTGAATTGCTGCAATGAGATTTCAGCAAAATGGACTAACCTGCTGCATCATTTTTTCACTTTGATTTTCTGGGCGTCTTTAAATTCTCTGTAGGTTGATCATTTTCATTTCGATCAAATGATGGGGCATCCTTTTGTTCTTAATACATTATTCAGTCCATATCAGTATAGATATCCAGCATGGTATTTTTTCCCATTGAGAGCTCATGTGTTTTCAAAGTGTTCCTTTAACCTTTTTGGCTCAGTGTATATATATATATATATATATATATATTTATTTATTTATTTATTTATATTTAATTGCTCTAGCTCTTTATGTAAGGAATTCCTGTTCCATTGATATGCTTATATATCCAGTTTATGATATAGGTATCCAAGATGATATGTTCAGGTAACTCAATACATTCGGAGCTGCTGTATGTGATTGCAGTTGCAGTGGGTTGACATTAAAGACGTTCTCCTTCTTGTTGCATAGGGAGTCTGCTATCTCTTCCCCTTTTGCATGAAGGGTTCTCTTTTGGGGCCAATTGATATCAGCAATTTTGTGAGCCTTGAGAGCATACCAGATACTTTATACCATTTAAACAGTAAGCCCTTCATACTAGTTTGCTTGATATCTTTTTTTATACCTGACATTATCACCTATGCGATGAGTGTCACCCTATATTAGAACACCTTGGGTAACCTAGAATAATCTTGGAAACCTATATTCCAACTGAATGTAGAAGCATGTCACCAGAATAAGTCCTGACATGGGCAGGTAAAATTGGGCATAACCACAAGCTTAAATATATATAAAAAGCATTAATGCTGATACTGGAGATATGTTTGATATAGACTTACTTATACCATATAACATATGTAACACCCTCTGAGTGCAGCTAGGGGGAGCTACACCCTAATGATTAGTCTGGAGCTGGTAGCAGCTCAGGTGTGATAGCCAGAGGGGTCTAATTGTGGTCAGGACTGAGAGACTCTGCAGTCCAGCCCCTCTGAAATTTGCCCCTGCTCTGAAGCTTTCGGAGGAGAGACTTGGAGGCAGTGGGTGGATCTGAGGAGTGGTTGCTGGCACTCTTGAAGGACCTCAACCAATCCTCAACAGAAGGCTTGGCAAGGGGCTGGAATTCTATTAAAAGTGTAAGAGCCTGGTCAGTAGCAGGAGTGTGGAGTCAGATGGAAGAAGCAGTAGGATGATGTGAGGCTGGAAGAGGATGTCTACCAGGAGGCCTAGTGAGATGGGGACTGCCTGCAAGCCTGGAGCTGAAAAGGAGGATAACGTGGGACTCACTGGCCCCCTGAGCGAGGGCCACCTGTATAGCAGGGAAGGAGCAGCCCAGATGATTGGCTTGGAAGCAACAGCCATCCCGCAAGTGGTACAGAAATGGATCTGAGTGAGTACACCTGCACCCCCTGGGTGGATAGAGGAAGGAGCAGTCTGATGGGAAACCATATTAGCTCCCTACTAGTGAATGTTCACCTCAATTAAAGAAGCAGGAGGTAGATCCCCTGCTCAGGAAGCAAGTATCCAGATTTATGGGTGAAGAGGAGTTCATCTAGGGTCTGGGGTGGTACAACTAGGAATTGCTGGCTAGCACTCCAACAGGGGCTGCATCAGAGAAGAGAAGCTTGTGAATAGTTCAGGAAGTTGTCCTCAGATTGTAGTCCCCTTGGTCATCCTATATCCCCCTTTCCCTATCTAAGTTCTAATCCCCTCAATAAAATAACAAAACAAACACTTAAGGACTGATTTCTGTCACCGGATGAAAGCTTGTGTGGGAAATGCTGAAAGACTGGCTGTGCAGGACTATAGGGGGACCCAATTCATCAGCAGTCCCTAAGGGGCTAGTGCTACACATATTTAGGCTCCTTTCATTACACAGGTCAGTGTTGATGCAGTTATAAACAAGTGGATAAATGTGCATGGAACTGAAATGGGAAGTCTTAATATGAACAGGTAAAGTTAGGAATAAACAACATTTTAAATATATATGAAAAAAAACTGAGACTCTCTAATGTGATGGATACCAGCCCAACAAATGTAATACTCACCCATACGTTTTAAATTTTTTTCTCCTTTGAGAATGTTGGTTAGATGCGGTGGAAATGGACCCATTTTTTAAAGTTCTCTATTATTTATTTATTTATTACAGGTACTTATATAGTGCCATCAATTTATCTAGGTTTTAGAGGAGGAAAACAAGAAAAAAAAATTTCAGAACCAATGGACTGCAGACATAATACAGGAAATGACCAGAGACTGAAGATGTAGTACAGGAGATGACCAGAGACTGCGGATATACTACAGGAGATGATCAGAGACTGCAGACATAGTACAGGAGATGACCAGAGACTGCAGACATGCGGGCGTACTACAGGAGATGACTAGAGACTGCAGACATAGTACAGGAGATGACCAGAGACTGCAGACATAGTACAGGAGATGACCAGAGACTGCGGAAATAGTACAGGAGATGAACAGAGACTGCGGATGTACTACAGGAGATGACCAGAGACTGCGGACATAGTACAGGAGATGACCAGAGACTGCAGACATACTGCAGGAGATGACAAGAGACTGCGGACATAGTACAGGAGATGACTAGAGATTGCAGATGTACTACAGGAGATGACCAGAGACTGCAGACATAGTACAGGAGATGACCAGAGACTGCAGACATAGTACAGGAGATGACCAGAGACTGCGGACACAGTACAGGAGATGACCAGAGACTGCCGACATAGTACAGGGGATGACCAGAGATTGCAGATGTACTACAGGAGATGACCAGAGACTGCAGACATAGTACAGGAGATGACCAGAGACTGCAGACATGTGGACGTACTACAGGAGATGACCAGAGACTGCAGACATAGTACAGGAGATGACCAGAGACTGCGGATGTACTACAGGAGATGACCAGAGACTGCGGAAATAGTACAGGAGATGAACAGAGACTACAGACATAGTACAGGAGATGACCAGAGACTGCGGACATAGTACAGGAGATGACCAGAGACTGCGGATGTATTACAGGAGATGACCAGAGACTGCCGACATAGTACAGGAGATGACCACCAGAGACTGCGGACATAGTACAGGAGATGACCAGAGACTGTAGACATAGTACCTGAGATGACCAGAGACTGCAGACACAGTACAGGAGATGACCAGAGACTGCAGACATAGTACACGAGATGACCAGAGACCGCAGACATAGTACAGGGGACGACCAGAGACTGCGGACACAGTACAGGAGATGACCAGAGACTGCGGACATAGTACAGGAGATGACCAGAGACTGCAGACACAGTACAGATGACCAGAGACTGCAGACATAGTAAAGGAGATGACCATAGACTGCAGACATAGTACAGGAGAAAAAGTGAGTCTTATGGAGCGAAAAATACAGTATATTGTACATTCACATCAGTCCCTAACCCTCAAGGGGCATACAATCTATAGTCCCTAACTTATATTCATATGTACACATACTAGGTCCAATTTAGACAGGATCCAATTAACCTACCATCTCCCTCTGTATGAAAGACTTGGATGCTTTATGTGTTTGGCTACAGTGTAGTACATACAATATGTACAGTAAGTTAGCTATACACATATAATGTATTGCAATCCTATATGTTGATATATGTAGGAATGTCTCTGATATGTTATCAATGTCAAATTTCTGTGTGATATCATATCTTCAGAATTTCTCTCTACATTTCCTGATAAAGCAGGTCATTTGATCTGGAAAATGTGTCAAATGTCACCCCTGCCCCATCATCAAAATCAGCTTAAGATAAAGTGATAGGGTTCTTTCACACATTGGAATATGTATAGCACTGATTGGTGGGGTGTCCAGGGTATTGTATGTGGACGTAGCTGTTGTTACAATATACTGCTACTGTTTTCAAGCAGCATTTGTGGATATGAACCAAGCCCTCTTCTTTTGATGTGGTTTATATTTTTGAACTAATAAAAATATTGTTTTTATAATTCAATGTGGTATGTGCAATATATCACTGTGGCACTGGAAAAGTCCCAGAAATTATTCTCAATGGTGTTCTTACTATGATACCAGGAACAGTGACTAAATTTGCTGGGCCATGTGCATATATAAGTATGTGGGAAAAAAGGTTAATAAGTCACTTCAACATTAAATTCAGCAATAATCCCCTTTGGCAGAGTCACAAAGAATCATCTGTAATTGTAGAAAGAGCCAGGGCACGGTGTTTTGCTGCAGGTACAACAAAGATCAATTATTTACTTCTACTGATCATATAACACGTACATGCTTTCTCTGCAAGGACATGAGCTCATCTTTTGCATCAAATATTTACAACTTGGTACGGAGGGGTAGTTGTCTTTCTGTGATGTTGCTGATTGGTTACAAAAGGTTTCGTTGTCATTCTAGCGTAGCAGCTTAAAAGCAGTTTAGCATTAGTTTCACCCTGAAAGAAACAGGGACTGTAGAATACACAGGCATACAAGAACTTTAAAGCAGCAGTGCCATCTAGCAACATTTCAAACAAATACAGTATTACGTCAAAATAGAAGAGCATTTTGTAGTTGTTTTTTATGTGCTAAATTTACTCTAAGGCTTTATTATTTATATATTTCAGATACTTATATAGTGCCGTCAGTTTATGCAGCACTTTACATATATATTGTACATTCACATCAGTCCCTAACCCTCAAGGGGTGTACAATCTAAGGTCCCTAACTCACATTCATACATACACATACTAGGGACAATTTAGACAGGATCCAAGTACCCAGAGGGAACCCACGCAGGCACAGGGAGAACATGCAAACTCCAGGCAGGTGGTGCCATGGTTGGGTTTTAAACCAGTGACCCTAGTACTGCCAGGCAGAAGTGCTAACCATTTAGCCACTGTGCTGCCCCACTATCACTCTCATGCGCTGTGATCAGAGGCAGACTGACCATTTGGAAACTTGGGCACTGCCCGAGGGCCTGGGGTCAGTAGGGGGCCCCATGAGATGCCCCTGGTACCCTTTTCATAGGCGTTTTTGAGTTTGGGCAAAGACACAAGGGCCCCATGATCCCCTATTGCCCGGGGGCCCCATGAGTTGTCAGTCCGCCCCTGGCTGCGATAATGCATGTGCTGCAACATTCCTTAATGGACCTTTATGTTCTTTGTGAACCTCAACAAAGAAGACATTTTTCCTGCTTCATTCAATGCAAAATGAAGGGCACTTTAATACATTGCACCACATTTGGTGAGTTATCATGCACTGTGGTAGCATATTTGTGTTCCAAATGTGCACTAATGTGAAGAGTCCCCAAAACCTATAGCCACAAACACATGGGGTTTTAAAACCTCACCACTAAACTTATGTTGTTGTACTGATTTTTTTAACGACTTCAAGTCTGGACACTTTCAACCCCTTCCAGTCCAGGCCAATTTTCAGCTTTCAGTGCTATCACACTTTGAATGACAATTGTGCGGTCATGCAACACTGTACCCATATGAATTTTTTAGCATTTTTCTGAGACAGATAAACTTTCTTTTGGTGGTATTTATTCACCACTGGGATTTTTATTTTTTTGCTATATAAATGAAAAATCCCCAAATTTTTTTTAAAAAGTGTTCATAAATCTTGGCCAAAATTTATTCATCTAGTAAAAAAAATAACCTAAATTAGTTTATAACCAAAAATTTTAATTTTTAAAAAATGTTCTTTACATTTTTTTTTATATATATATTATTTATGGGTTTTTTTTTATTTTTTTTTGCATACTGTCACCCTAGCAGTACAGTGTCACCATAGTGACTCTGTACTACGTGTAGGGGGTGATGAAGATTTTTTTTTTCTTTGTTTACACTGGCTGCTTTTACACCCATAAAGGCTGTAAAAGCAATCATTTCTCCTCTTCTCTGGCTGCATTCCTGCAGCCATTGAGAAATATCGTGCGAGCTGTGATTGGTCACAGCTTGTCACATAGTACAAGGCTGTTGTGAATAGCCTTGTACCATGTGACCTCTGTGATCATTCACAGATTTCAAAAGTAGTAAGCAATGATGTCAGGAAGTGACAACTTGTTTACTACTATTCATGTTATCACTGATTGGCCAATCTGTGATCAATTGAATTGAGACCTCACACAGAGGTCCCATACAGCGATCTGTGTTCCGCTGTGGTCCGATCGCTGTGCTGCGCACTCCCAGGAAGCATGCACATGCAATGGACGCGGGGGGATGTTTAGAAATGTCCCCCCGCATCGGCAGCACTCCCATCTGGCCGTTTATCGACATGGGCTGGACGAGAAGAGGTTAAAAAAAATACATTTATGTTGAGTAAATGTCTTTTTTTGAAAATTAAAGTAATTGTAAACTCTCACCTTGGAAAACAATTCAGTTTAAAACAGAAATGAAAGGCAAAACACTTGTGTATAGATATAAAAAATGTATAAATACCTTTATATATAATAAATACCTTTACACATACCCTCTGCAGCACACTGATCTTCCCAGTGAGAGGCTGTACATGAGGGGTGTGTCAGCATACGTCTGATCATTGCAAAAGAGCACAGCTAGAGAACTGACTACGGTGTGTTCTTCTGCTTGGATTCCATTCACACTTGTGCAACTTGCCATGCAACTTTGGGGTCCAAAGTCGCATGATCATTCACACCTCATGTTTCCCAATGAGTACCATTCAAATCTGTGCGACTTCAAGTAGCAGCAACTTGAAAGTAGATCCTGCACCACTTTGGTATGACTTTTGTTGCCACTTTAGTCTAGTGAATGTAAAGTCAGATCAAAGTCACACCACAAATAACACTGGAAATGGCATGATTTTGGAGATGACTTATGTGAATGGAGCCTTAGTGTGGTGAGTTTTTAATAAGAAAGCAGAGAGACTGACCATACCACCAGGAATTCACAGAAATGAAGCAATGCATACAAAACAGGATACTTTTTCATAAAAGTACATTGGACATCTGGCACATATCAGGAATATAAAAAGCTAGGACAGCACAGTGGCTAAATGGTTAGCACTTCCACCTGACAGTACTAGGGTTGTTGGTTTGAATCCCAACCACAGCACCAGCTGCCTGGAGTTTGCATGTTCTCCATGGGTTTCCTCTGGGTACTCCAGTTTCCTCCCACACACTCCAAAGACATGCTGGTAGGTGAATTAGATCCTGTCTAAATTGGCCCTAGTATGTATGAATGTAAGTTAGGGACCTTAGATTGTATACCCCTTGAGGGTTAGGGACTGATGTGAATGTACAATATACAGTTGTTTTCAAAATAATAGCAGTTTGTTGAAAAAAGTGAATATAGCTCAAAATCCTGCTAATAGCTTTTATTTCCATACACACAAATGCATTGGGAACACTACACATTCTATTCCAAATCAAAACATGAAGAAAAATATTTCAAATTTGTGTTGTTCCTCTAAAAGAATTGAAGAAAAGTGAATATTAGACTGTTCAAAAAAATAGCAGTGTTTGTATTCTTCGTTACAAACTCAAACATTCACTATATAAACTGAACAATGTTTGAAGATTTTGCTTTCCTTTGAATCACTTAATTAATATTTAGTTGTATAAGCACTGTTTCTGAGAACTGCTGTACATTTGTGTTGCATGGAGTCACCCAACTTCTGGCACCTGTGAACAGGTATTCCAGCCCAGGATGATTGAACTACATTCCACAGTTCTTCTCTATTTCTTGGTTTTGTCTCAGAAACTGCATTTTTGATGTCACCCCACAAGTTTTCTATTGGATTAAGATCCGGGGATTGGGCTGGCCACTCCATAACGTCAATCTTGTTGGTCTGGAACTAAGATGTTGCACATCTACTGGTGTGTTTGGGGTCGTTGTCTTGTTGGAACACCCATTTCAAGGGCATTTCCTCTTCAGCATAAGGCAGCAGGACCTCTTCAAGTATTCTGATGTATTCAAACTGATCCATGATCCCTGGTATGCGATAAATAGGCCCAACACCATAGTATGAGAAACATCCCCAAA